AAAATACAAAAATAAACAAAACAAAATTTGAAAGACACATCCAAGTCGTCCCAGGGAATGCCATCACATTTCACCCCAAAGGGACTGTGTCGTTGTGACTCTCAGTGCAGTGTGGACATGGAGGGAGCCAGCAACACACAGGCTGAGCCACGACAATGTCTGTCGTCATCATCACATTTATTACCCAATGCCCACCCTTCAACAGCAGGTCCCAGGGTGGGTTGCAATGGGTCATATCATTGTGCCTCAACTTCTGTTAAACAGAGAGGAAGAGCTGTTTCACGATTCTGAAATATTTAGCGAAATGAACATTGTAAGGCGCTTCACTCATTAGAAATTATACGTATGCAATTTCTGTATCTGAGACTATACACAACTAAGGGCTGACCCTACCATTAGGTAAAGCGAGGGAGGCAACCTCAGGTACCTGATTTCAGATGTCATGAAAAGGCCACCAATGGTTAGTTAGTTAATACATTATTGTTGCTGTTATTTGTTTTCCCCCATGTATTTTATTTGTTTGTCTTTTGCTGATAGAAAGAAGGAGTGGTACCCTACAAAAGAGAAGACTATTCACTGGTCTGCCTGAAGGCCTGCTCTGCACTCTCTCTCTCTCTCTCTCTCTCTCTCACACACACACACACACACACACACACACACATATGGCACACACTTCACTTTTTTATCTACCATATTTTTCCATGTATAACACGCCCCTATGTATAAGACGACCCCTAATTTATGGGACCCCAAATTAAGGTAATGGGGGGAGATTGCCCAAAGTTGTTAAGCTTTTTGGGGGGCGTTGCAAACAATTGCTCACCTGCCTGACCGCCACTGCCAATCACACACTTCACCAAAGCCACCAATTGTCTGCCCGCTGGCCGCCAGCAGCAGCCAATCACCAGCAGGGCTTGTTGAAGCTACCAATCACCCGCCCAATCGCAGCTGACAAACTCCTGCCCGCGGCAGCTACCAATTGCCCGCCCCCCCGCACTATCCGTGTATAAGACAACCCCCAATTTTTAACATTTTTAAAAAATAAAAAAGCATTGTCTTATACATTGTCTATCATCAGATAGATGATGGATCTATCTATCTATCTAGCTATCTATCTATCTACATCTATCTATCATTTTTTAAACTGTCTACAACATTCCCCTAGAATTTCTTATGAATATTATAGTCCATGGATCTTTATTTTTGCATCTGGGCTGGACTGGGTACCAGAAAAGTAAACCTGTGTCTTATTACGTGAGATGAAATAGCATGCTAAATAAATACTTTCTCAATTCCATGATCAAAGAGAGAGCTTGAATAAAATTATGCTGTCATTAAAGCCACGATCCATTAAAGGCTTAGCCTGTGTCACAAAACCGTCTATTTTATTGGGCCAAGATGTGGTAAAGGCTGTATCTGGGCCACACTCAATTTTTCTTTTGTTTTCAAGGTTATAAAGCAACAGCAAGACATGTTTGCCTGTCTCCTTCATTCTATACACCAAGTATCTTGAACATACTAATGTAATTATTAAACGATGACTAAAAAAAAAAAAGAACTAATGCATTGAACCTGCAGTAGGTGAATCAGAACGAAGTAGACATCAATATATTGTATTACAAGGCATGTAACCTCCATCCATTGCGTTCTTCCAGATAACCCAGGTAATGACTAGAGTAAATTAAACACATCAGGTGGAATTTAACTAAGTTTTACTCAAAGTAAACCTGTTGAAATGAATGGTCCTAACTTAGCCATGTTCATTAATTTGAAGTTGCCTGCTCTCAGCGAAGGGACGCAGGTGGTGCTGTGGGTTAAACCACAGAGCCTAGGACTTGCTGATCAGAAGGTTGGCGGTTCGAATCCCTACGACGGGGTGAGCTCCTGTTCGGTCCCTGCTCCTGCCCACCTAGCAGTTCAAAAGCACGTCAAACTGCAAGTAGATAAATAGTTACCACTCTGGTGGGAAGGTAAATGGTGTTTCCGTGCGCTGCTCTAGTTCGCCAGAAGCGGCTTAGTCATGCTGGCCACATGACCCAGAAGCTGTACGCCGGCTCCCTTGGCCAGTAAAGCGAGATGAGCACCGCAACCCCCGAGTCAGTCACAACTGGACCTAATGGTCAGGGGTCCCTTAACTTTTACCTTTACTCTCAGCGAAACTTCATTGAATACTACCCAACATTCTGTATTTTACAAATTATGCTGTTTCTTTGTTTACTATATTTGCATGTTTCACCCCCACCATTCAAGGCATTGTACATTGATTGTCTTTGTAGAAAGTGGTAATTGAACCACACAGAACCAACTCTGCAAGTGTTTCCTTAAAGCAGGCTGAGCAAGGGAACGAAAGAAAAGGCAGCAGGGCAAATGGTTCTTCCTCTTAATCAATCCATGCTTAATCAATAATCAACCAATCAATCAGAATGTCGGCCACAGCGGTGACTCAGTTCTTAAGGGGAAGTGTGGGGAAACCCATCATGTATCCTGTATGGATTGTGGCCTCTCCTTTATCAACTGCCACAAATATTCCTCACATTCCAAGACAGTGAGCAACTTCTTACAGTGTTAACTATTTAGTGGTTCCATTGTGGGTGTATACATTATTTGCACCGATTAGGCAGCATATTTAGCACACGTTTTATGTTTAAATTTACATGCATATAGCCTCTTTTTTTAAAAGAATTGGCCTCTCTCTGCTGCAAATTTCTTGGGGGCAGTATGCAGATGACTGTTTGCAGAGTGGGTGCAAGGGATGTTTGAGGAATTTAAACTGGCCTGATCCGTATGCCTGCAAGCACACAAAAACTCCTTCTTGTAAATACGTACTTGTCACTTTTGAAGTTTTAAGTGTTTACAAGAAGAAGGGTGGGAATAAGAGGTGTTTGTCGGTTCTTTAACTTAAACATCAAGGCTGCTGATTCTGCGTGAGCAAATGGGCAATAACAATGTCACTGAGAATTCAAATCAGCCTCATGCTAGAATGTCACAACACTTTACAGTGAAGACCCAAAGCTCTCTGTGCATAAAACAAGACTCTGTAGCTTTCCAAGCTATTGTGCATAAAGTTCAGTTTTAGTGTTACTTATTCTAATTTACCTTTACACTCTGAAGCTATTGTTTGCTGTGAAGTTGTCCATTACCTTCTCTTCGTGACACTTACAATGGCTAATTTATAAAAAGAAAGGTTGAGAACCTCACGTCCTGTCAAAAGATAGATTTCCATTTTAAGCAAAAACATACCCAGACATTGCTTGAATTTGGCCCCTTTCTTAACCTCCAAAAGAATTCATTTTGGCAGCGTGCTGGAAACATATAAGAACAATGTAAGAGCTACAGTTTGTTTTCCTTCCTGTAATGTTTTATGATAGCATTTTAAAATATGTGTTTATTTGACACTTAGCCACTGTTATCTTCTATATCTTCTGGAATTTTAGCCCTGTTTCAGCCACACAGAAAGATCAAGAAAAGCTATTTTCACAATCATATATATTAAATGTTGTTTTAACTCAAGGAACTATAGGGGGGGGTGTAAATCTGTTCTACCAATTTGCAGTTCACACAATTCACCCACACACGGTGTGGGATTTTCCAGAGGCCTAGCTTTGCGTTGCCTTAAGCCCAGCTCCGATATCCCATTTTCTAAAGTTGGATTTCATAAACTACCTTCTAGATCAGGAGTTCCTCAACTGTTTTTGGCCTGGGGGCACATTTGAAAATCTGAGAAACTGTTATGGGTACCACTAAATATCCATTTCATGGAAGAATGACTAGCAATGCTTGGAACTCCCTCAAAACAGGCAAAACATCTACACACATCTAAACAAATAAAAGACAGGGTATGTGTGGAATTAGGCAATCCTTTAAAACAACATTATTTTTATGTCAGGGGTGCCTGAGATGCCCGGGTGTCAATGAGCCCCACAGTGGGGACCCCAGTTTTAGATACATTTCTTAACTGCTACAGGAGTTTAGTAGGAAAAGAAGTGCTTGCTGGGGCAGACTGTCATGACCTCTGTGACCAGCAATGATCTGGACACAGAGATGTAGGCCAGGGGTCAGCAAACTTTTTCAGCAGGGGGCCGGTCCACTGTCCCTCAGACCTTGTGGAGGGCCGTACTATAGATTTTTTTGGGGGGGGGAATATGAAAAAATTCCTATGCCCCACAACTAACCCAGAGATGCATTTTAAATAAAAGCACACATTCTACTCATGTAAAAACACGCTGATTCCCGGACTGTCCACAGGCCAGATTTAGAAGGTGATTGGGCCAGATCCAGCCCCCAGGCTTTAGTTTGCCTACCCATGCTGTAGGCTGCAGGGGAACCAGATAGGGAGCAGAATTTGGGTCAGGACTCAGAGATAAGACTGCGGAAGATAGGGAGACCAGTGTGCCCAAGGTGGTTGGACGAGACTCCCAGAGGAACCTCCCAGACCACCAGGGCCTACAGGCCAGAGCCTAGCCCCTCACACACACCTTCCCCTGAGCCCAAAAAACTAGATGCCTCTCACTGCACACCACCAGTCCAGCAGTGTGGGGAGCACACCAGGAGGGAGACTATGGAAAGGAGGAGGAGGAGGTGTACCCATCTACAGGCCAGAGGATTGACCCATCGAGGCTTTAAAGCTCTCTCAAGGTGGTGGAGTCTGGAGACGGAGGCATAAAAGGCCTTAGTCTGTTTCCAATCTTTGTCACGGACAAGCAATCTCACTGGTTTCCCTGTGGGTTTTGGCATCAGACCAGAACACAACAGAGCTACAAAATTCACTTCACTGGCAGGACTGCAGGTGCAGCCAGGACAAAATGACACATGTGGGTCACCACATCCACAGCTATCCTGAACTTCATGCTTCTGCATCCACTCATTGCTACCATATTATTTCCGGAGAGTACTCCCCTTGGGTGCCTGCTGGCAATCTCTTTGCCCATTTCTTGCTTCTCCTGGAAGCAAGGGAGGAATGGGTGGGTGAATTGACTAGATAGGGAGGATCAGTTGCTTACCTGCCTGTGCGCTTTCTCCATGTCTCTCTCAGTCTCTCTCTCTCTCTCTCTCTCTCTCATTGTTTCTGTTTTCATGGCAAGGTGAAGGTGGGGGAGAGCCAATAAAGTGAAAGAAGATGTATGCAGATTAGTGAGCAACGAGAACTCTCCTGTTTTATCATCTTCACCGTCTCAATAATTTCAGGGGCTCTATCTGATGGATGCTCATCTTCCTATCACTTGGTCCTTGGCACACTGGTGACGGAAGGAATGTGTAGTGGGATGATCTCCATCTCTCCCATTAATAGTCTGTTAAAATTGCCTGGGCATATTTATGAGTCCAAATAGCCCTAGGGCCATTTTAGATTGATCTCAATGGGAATAACTTCTAAGTAAACATTCATAGGATTGTGCTGCATATCCTGTAGTTGAGCCTTCAACATGAAGTCTAGTTGGAGAGGGCAGGATATAGACTGAGATTATTCAGTTTCATCTGCTATACGGTAACAGATGTGGCATTTAGTCCTTACAGTGTAAAATTTATATGGATGGAGGATGAAGTTTTGTTTTCCGAACAGACGCAGATCAACATGTTTCCCCCTGCAAATGCCAGCACTGCATAGAGACAGGCTCTTTCGCCGTCTTTCACCAAACAGCCTTTCTTGGAATGCTTATATCTCATATCATTTTCAATCAGCATCATTCTCTTTTGATTCCTATACGACAAACCCTTTAAGTGAATCCACTGTCCACCCTGCACTGGACTGTTATTTTGATCAAGGCTACAATCCTAATCTGCTTCAAATGAAAGGCAGTTTAATTGAAATCAGCACAATTATTTCCAAAGACATGACTATCAGCACTAGGGAATTGTAGCACCATTATCTTGGGAAGGAAGGGGATTCATGCGGCGCTTGCGGGAATATGTTATGAGAGGAATCAAACACTTATAATCAAAGCAACAGCTTGGAGGCAGGGTTTATACTGCGGTTCACCAAGATGTAGCTGTCAGCTGTAGCTGTCAGCATAAACGTTGAAGAAACATTAGCGGCTTCGTACCACCAGTAGGGGAGTGGAGCAAGCCTAGCTTCAAAACAGATTTGAAATTCAGACAGTGTTTGCTTCTAGTGTGTCCCATTAAGAACTAAGGCCTGTTCATTCTACTTTCTTTCACTTGGGTGATAAGAAATGTTGAACAGAGTGACACAAGTCAGATCTATTCTCAAGGCAGACGTTATCATGACTGCCAAGCAGTGTGGTGTAGTGGATAGTGTTGAAGACCCGAGGTCAAATCCCCATTTGGCTACGAAGATCACGAGGTGACTTTGGGTCAGTCACAATCTCTCAGCCTAAACTGACCTCATAGAGTTGTTGTAAGGATAAAATGCGGAGAGGGGAACTCAGATACATCACTTTGAGCTCCAATAAAATAAACTGGCATTTCCCACCAATCTTACCGGTGAAAGCTTAGTTAGAACAACCTAAACCACTGTATTTGCACTGATTATAGAATCTGTAGTTTGCAGGTATTTTACTATAGGTGTTGGACTAGATGACCCCTGTGGTCCCTTCCAAGTCTATGATTCTGTGATACTTCCATGATCAGGAGATGGTGTGGTGGGTGAGAAATCTCAAATATCTCTTCTTTTTAATTCTTTTAATAGATACTTCCTGCCAACTGTTTCAAAATTCCCTCCACATCCATGATGCCTAGACACTTGATTTTTTTTAAAAAAGTATGGTAAAAGTAGCAGTGTTTTTAGAATAATAATAATAATAATAATAATAATAATAATAATGGTGAAAGCAGCTGCTCTCAAAATCCTGAAAGCCACAAGATAGTAGAACCTGCAGTTGGAAATGGCCGTTCTCTTACCTAAACACTGTGTTGCTAGGCTTAGCACTCAGGTGTCAACAGACAGCACAACTGCTACCCTTCCAAAACGACTTGAATAAACAACCTAATTCAGTCCTTGCAACGGAGGTAATAATAACACCATGTGAGCTATATTATCAGGTATGCAAAAGGGCTTAAGAGAAAATTCTGTCTGCCGGACTCAAAGGCTTTGAACAGAGTCAGGAATGATGTATGAGGGTTTGGGGGAGGCGAGGGGGGAGTATATGTTTGTTGTCACAGTAACTGCAAATATAATAAACGGGCATTGCTTCATTTCCTTAAACACTCAGGTTGCTGTGCTGAAATAGTTCGTCATGAAGTCTACAATGCTTCTTTCCTTCTCTCAGCCTGTATCTTACTCAGTTACCGGAACTCAGCCCATTACAAGGTTACTTTTAGCCTAAGTGCATTAGAAGCAGAGAGGGAAATGGGAATGGAAAAACAAAAGTAAGGCCTACTTAGCCCCATTGCTTCTCATCTGGGCATAGAAAAGACCTTATTTTCACAAAGATCTCATCAATAAACAAAGCAAGCTGGCAGCAGTTTAAAAGGATGACGTCAGTTCACTACTGCTTTCAATCACATCCTTGTTTATTTTGCATGTTTCTTCTGTTGTTGTTTTAAGGGGGGAATTTAATATGTCTGATAAACTGTAATGGCAACTACCATGAGAGCAAGGCGAGAACGCCACCCACATACAAGAAGAGTTCACAAAAATACAGCAGTAGATAACCATTTAACCAAATGCAACTAACATTGCTACTTTTTTACCATTATTTCAAGGCCAGATCCTTTGCTTATGAAGAAAAGATCGTTTTCTTCCCATGTGCCACAGAAGAATTAGGCTAATAAACCCTGAAACATTTAATTCCCATGAGCCTGAAAGAATTCACATATCTTTCTGTACAAAAACAAAACAAAAACTGACCGTACTTTTAGAATATAATTTTATCTGTCTCTGTAGTACAAAGTTTCAGAATAGTGTTAACTGCGTATGTAATAATTTGCCCCAAAAAGGAAAGACAAGCGGTTTCTCTCAACCCTGGAGACATTTAAATCATACTCAGGACTGTTTGCACATACAGGTCATCTTCACAAGCTATATTTAAATGGTGTTTTTGCATTTCCTGTGTCTGTATCATTAAAACTTGCATTGTTTCACAATGCTACTTTCTGTCCCACATTGAAAAGCAACCAAAAGCGACCTTGCAGAGGCTGGATGGCCATCTGTCATGGTTGCTTTAGCTGAGATTCCTGCATTGCAGGGGATTGGACTAGATGACCCCTGGGGTACCTCCCAACTCTACAATTCTACGATTCTATGACAGATTCCAGCCTAAAAAACCTGGCCTCATGGAGAGTTCTGTGTGCTTCCACCACACCACCACCATCTAATTGCTCGGTCACGTGGCTGAATTGATTTTCAGCCTGTGCTGAAGTTGAGGTGAAAGATTATTTACGTCCCAACAAACTGGCTCCACCGTGGAGAAATCAGATTACCACTTTGCCACATGGCCAACTGTAATGAGCACCATACACTACTTACTGCATGAAAAGGGCTGGGTTTTGATCACATGAACTGATCATTGACCATGACAGCCTCTTGTTTGGGATGCTACAGTGATGTGCAGAGTTTGCTTCAATATCCTACACAGCATGATTTCAATGATTTCCTGACATCAACAAGTCTACCACACTTTTACTAGTTATGTCTACTTTATACATGATCTCCTCGTTGGGATTCCCCGCCCTGGCTTATATTTCTATTTTAAAGATAGCAAAATCTGATTTGTACCACTAGTGAATTCCTACAGTTGAAAAAGGAAAGGCAAAGGAATCCTATTCTCCAGTTACACTGGGAGTGAAAGATTTGTAACTGCTACACTGACACAAAGGCTCCTGTATGTTGTATCTGCTCAGCCCAGGAGGAGAGAAGGATTTACATCTTGGAACATTCCCAAATGGCACAAAAAGGGTACAGATGCTCCTCCCTCTTCCACATCCCCAGAAACAACACCAAAGCCCACCAATCAGGGACTATGCCAGCACCCTGGACACATGCCACTCATACATGGTGGTCGCCATGAGTAGGCATGTGCAGGACAGTTGTGCATTTTTTTGTGTTTTTATGTTGTAAACTGCCCTGTAATCCTCGGAAGAAGGGTGGTGTGTGTGTGTAACTTAAATGGCAGCAAGAATTCTAAAGCAGTAATGTGGTATACGTGCCTAGGTAAAGGTAAAGGTACCCCTGACCGTTAGGCAGTGCCAGATTTATGTATAGGCTAAGTAGGCTGAAGCCTAGGGCCTCTAAATCTAGGGGGCCTCCCCAGAGGCAGTCTCCCCAGTGCCACAGTCTCCCCTCTCCCAAAATTGTAAACCCAAGACTTCATGCAAGGGAAGGGCAATTCAGGCCCAGCAACTATTAGACTCAGGGCTAGCCAGTGGGGCCCAATTTGAAGCAGTGGGGTGCAACTTGTTGTTGTTTTTTTGTAGGGCCCCAGTTCACAGCCAAAGTCTGCAAAATCTTATAGATATAAATAAAATCCATCTAGATTGCCCTGGTGCAGGGGACCCCTTAGGAGTGGCCCGCGGGGCCCAATTTGGCTCAATTGCTCCAATTGCCTTAAGGTCAGCCCTGATGAGACTGTGCAGGGGTTGGACTGACAAGCCCTGCATCTTCTAGGTCCCTGGTGTCACCATTCAGAGTACAGACTCAAGGAATTGTTATGGAAATAAAGGGGGGCACTTATTGGAAATCAGTTTTGTCACCTCTCCCCCCCAAAAAAAACCCCGAGACAATGAGCCCAGCCACCTTTTATTCAGAGTCTCATAAGCACTACACTACAGCATGGCCATAAACTTGTACGTGCAACCACTGAAATATATACCCAATATGTAACAATGGAGATTTATGTTACTGCTTTATGAATGAACACTGTGTTTTATGAATGGACTCTGTATTTTGTGAATTACCACCAATAGGGAGCTCTAGAATCTGACAGCTAACCAATTGGGTGCTACCAAACAGCGACCCCTATTGCTGAATGCAGGTAACCAGCAGGGAATGCTTCAGCTCAGCCTTTGCACTGTTGACTGAACACCCCCTGCTGTGCAGATAATAGAGAAAGCTCGTAAATTGTATCCCTTCTGGCATCCTGGCCAACTCTATTACACTGGTGTAAACCCTGG